GCCAAGGCCCTCTAGCTTAGGATAACAGAGTGAGACTCTGTCTGAAAAAAAAAAAAAAATAGAATAGAATAGAATGTAAAAATTCCATGTTCTATGACCCCTGGTGGATCTGAAGACAGACAAATCTGCAAAGACAGAGCTCTGCCTGTCTGCACTCCTGCCCGTCCTCCCCTCTGCCTGCACATCCCTCCTTCAGACCCTTTGTACACACAACGTGCTGCAGCTGATGTCCTCTTCCCTCTCAAATCCTACTCTTAGCAACTCATTTATGTTGTGAGGTTAACTTAAACTGGCTCTCTTAATTTTTTATAGGATCTAGAATTTTAACCTACCCTGTATGGGTGGAATGAAAAGATTTAGAAGGCACAAGGGACACAATGTCAGAAGGTTTGGATTCAGTGTCAGAAAACCTACTTCTCATTAGTTTCTAGCTCCCATTGAGCCCCACAGAGTCCCTTCCCCTTTCTGGGCCTTGTTTCCCCAGCTACAAAATGGGAGAGTATAAGACATAGGACCAGACGACCTACCCCCTTCTGTCATTCTCGGCCTTCATCCTATCCAAACATGGCGCAGAACTGTGAGGAGGACACAGACGTTAGGACTGGAGAGACTCGGGTTCCAATCCTGGCTTTGCCATGTACTAGCTGTGTGATTTGAGGCAAATAACTTAACGTCTCTGAGACTCCATTTTCTCTTCCACAAAGTGGAAAATAAAGTAAAATACCTCCATCCATGTAGTACTGGCAAGAGAACTGGAGAGGGTGTTACGTAATGAAGAGACAGGTGCTACATAAAGGGCCACGGTTGTCCTGCCTGTGCCTTTGTCAGGGGCTCGCTGGACTGGATCAGCAAGTGGAACAAGTACAACATTGATCAGGGTCTCCAGCACCGAGTCCCAGAAATCACACAGAGAGAGAACAGTCTACACTCACATATAATCCAAAAGCAGAATTTAGAAAAAGTGTTCTGGGATGTGGCCTATCAGTCTCTGAGGTAAAGAAGTCTGTTCCGGGTGGCGCCTGTGCCTCAAAGGAGTAGGGCACAGGCCCCATATGCCGGAGGTGGTGGGTTCAAACCCAACCCCAGCCAAAAAAAAAAAAAGAAGTCTGTTCCTTGGCTCCCTGGGGGCTGCCAAGTACAAGGAGGTTTAATCAGTAACCTGAGAAATAGGTGGGGTGACAGGGAAGGCAGGGAGAGAGGTTGGGCACTTAGTGTATTTATATGACCACCCCTACACCAGCTCCAAGGGCAAAGAGTGCTCTTTCCATAGCAACCGAAGTCAACAGACTTTCACCAGCTTGAACTGTGGACTTGGAAAATGCTTGCTGGGAGAAAGGGGAGCCCTCCCAAACATTTGCCTCCACGTGCACATTAGACATGTACCCCCCTCCCAAGCTGAACCAGGAGCAGCTCCCTCACCAGCCGCCTCTACTTCCAGTGTGACTGCCCCACCCCTCCTACCTTCCCTCCCCTCCCTCGGGAAGCCAAGGTCTGATTTCTCCAACCTTCCCAGCATTTCTCAGCCCAGGCTCTGCACACTAGTCTAACAAAACAAGACAGAAGAGTTGAACCTTTTCATTTGCAATTAAAAACTAATCCTGAAGGAGAAGACAAAAAAGCAAAAGAGGTAGAACCATGACATTAGTGCAGAAAGCATAAAAGCACCATCCAGGGCAGGAGCAGTGCCAGTCAGGAGTCTGCACAAGCTGGAAGCTCTACTGCTGAGTGTTGGCCCCAACTCCAAATCCCTATCAGCCTCATTGATGAAAGCATGCTTTCATGGAGTTATGAAAAACTTACATGCTAGACCATTCAACAGGGAAACAATAATCTCTTCAACAAATGATGCTGGGTAAACCAGATATCCACGTACAAAAGAATGAAGTTGGACCCCTACCTCACACCTCATACCTCACACCTCACACCATACACAAAAATTAACTCAAAATAGATCTAAGCCCTAAACTATAAAACTCTAAAAAGAAACACAGAGGGATGCATTTTCATGATCTTGGAATTGGCAATGAATTCCTACAAATGACATCAAAACAATGAGCAAGAAAAGACAAAATAGATCAGTTAAACTTCATCAAGATTTAAAACCTTTATGCCTCAAAGGACACTGTTAAGGAAGTTAAAAGACATACTTGATAGGAGGTACCTGTGGCTCAGTGAGTAGGGCACCCGCCCCATATACCAAGGGTGGTGGGTTCGAACCCCACCCCCGCCAAACTGTAACAACAACAACAACAACAAAAAATAGCCAGGCATTGTGGCAGGCACCTATAGTCCCAGCTACTCGGGAGACTGAGGCAAGAGAATTGCCTAAGCCCAACAGCTGGAGGTTGCTGTGAGCTGTGACACCACAGCACTCTACCAAGGGTAGAGTAAGATTCTGTCTCAAAAAAAAAAAAAAAAAAGAAAGAGTCTAGTATCTAGAGTATAAAAAGAAATTTTACAACTGAACAACAAAAAGACAAACAACCCAATTGAAAAAAAAAGTTTGTTTATGAAGACCACGGCAGGAAGAAAGTAAGAGGGAAAAACAATTGTGATAGGTTGAAGACTTGTACATACAAAGTTCCTTTAAGAAGGAACAACCAAATGCAAGTCTACAAATTTGTAGACTTCATTTGGATCCCGATCTAAACTGCTAGAAAACATTTTTGAGATAATGATGAAAATGTGCCTATGGACCAGGCATTAAATTACCTAAATTAAAACATTAATATAAATTTTATTAGAGTTGATAATAGCACAGTGGTTGCTGTTTTAAAAGTCAAAGGTGCATTCTGACTCAGCATCCATAGCTCGGTGAGTAGGGCACTGGCCACATATACTGAGGCTGGCAGTTCAAGCCTGGCCCAGGCCTGCTAAACAACAATGACAACTGTAACCAAAATATAGCTGGGCATGGGCTATATTTTCATGATCTTGGAGTTCCAGCTACTCGGGAGTCTGAGGCAAGAGAATCACTTAAGCCTAAGAGTTTGAGGTTGCTGTGAGCTGTGACGCCACAGCACTCTACCAAGGGCAACGTAGTAAGACTCTGTCTCAAAAAAAAAGAAACCAACAATCACCCTGGGGACAAAAAACAAAAACAACCAAAATCTATTAAGCCAACTTTTCTCTTTCTACCATTTTTGGGATGTCAAAAGAATCTCAGAACTTCAGTGGTTTCCAGAGGGTTTTGCTTTGTTTGCCATCAAGAAGAAGTGACTCGAACACTTTCAAAGAAGAAAAAGTGAAATAAAGAAGGAATATGGCTCAGCGACTGTCGCTCAGTGGCTAGGGCGCCGGCCGTGGCACCAGCCGCATACACGGGGCTGGGGGGTTCGAACCTGGCCTGGGCCTGTCAAACAACAATGACAACTACAACAAAAAAATAGCTGGTCATTGTGGCGGGTACCTATCATCCCAGCTACTTGGGAGGCAGAGACAAGAGAATAGCTTCAGCCCAACAATTTGAAGTTGTCATGAGCTGTGACACCATAGCACGCTACTGAGGGCAACATAGTGAGACTCTGTCTCAAAAAAAAAAAAAGAAGAAATACAGTAGTCCAGTGGGTCAGCCAAGAGCTCTGCCCAGCTTTCAAGGCACCCAGATGGCCTGCCAATCCTTGAGAAATCTCTGGGGCCTACAGTTTCAGGTGGGCTAAATGGTAGGGGAGCAGCCCCATTGGACGGGTCCAGAGAGAGTAAAAATCCCCCAGAGGGTTAGCAAGGAGTGGCTTCCAAGCCAATACAAGAGCCCTTCTGCGTGGAAAAGGATGATGAACTAAGAATCAGAGGCTTGGGTTCTACTCCTGGTTCAGGTTCTGAGAAGTACTTTCCATCTCCAGAGATTTCATTTCTCTGTCCATACAACAGAATCACAGAATCGCAGTGGGCCCTTCCGGGGTCGGCAGTGACCACCCATGTTTAAGTGCAGCAGACATACCCCATGAAGTCAGATTTTGACCCTAGCAGGGCACAAAGACCCATGCCTGCCTCTAAGGTTGGGGTCAGTCCTTGGGTATGACTAACTCCCCCTTCTTTATAATTGACAAATAAAAAGTGTATGTCTTATTGTGTACAACATGATTCTCTTTAAATATGTATACACTGTGGGATAGCTCAATCAGGCTAGTTAACAAACACATGCATTACCTCACATTGGTATCATTTTGTGGTGAAAATACGTAAAACCTACTTTAGCCATTTTCAACATGACAATGCATTGTCAGTGGCGGTAATCACCATGATGTACCATAGACCTCTTGAACTTATTCTCCTAAATGAAACTTTGTACCTTTACACCAACCTCTCCCCAACCCCCCACCAGCCTCCAGCCCCCTACCCCATAACCACCATTCTACTCTCTGCTTCTGTGAATTCACCATTTTTTGATTCCACAGAGAAATGAGATCCTGCGATATTTGTCTTTCTGAGCCTGGCTTATGTCGCTTAACACAGTGTCCCCCGGGTTTCTCAGTGGTGTCAAATGACAGGATTTCCTTCTTTTTTAAAGGATGAATGGTGTCCCGTTGTGTGTGTACACCTTATCCATTCACCGGCTGACGGACACTTACCCTGATTCCCTATCTTGGCTGTTAGGACCAGTGCCACAGGGAACAGCAGGTACAGTTATTCAAGGTACTGATTTTTACTCCTTTGGATAATTTCAATTCCTTTGGCTATACAGGAAGTGGGGTTGCTGGAGCATATGGAAGTTCTATGCCTAACTCCCTTTTTATCTTCTATTACAAACAGCTTTCTCTGAACCTTCTTGAACCTGTTTACTTTTTCACCCTGTACCACAGTGGAGAACAAGAAGTTTTGTGGAATTCCATCAGCTTCTTACTGAGTGAAATGGGACTTTACCTCACAGAGGAAGAAGGCTTAAAGGACCAACTGAATAGAAACACACAGAGCTGCTTCTTGGTGGGCAGCTGGAGAGGGAGTGTGGGCAGCCTCCAAGAAGACCAGGGCCCAGCCCCCAGGGCAGTCAGTGGACTCACCGAGATCTTGGTGAAAATGTAGAGCAGCAGGGACAGAACAGAAAGGTAGACCTGAATCCGCTTGCCTCCAAACCTCTTCCGAAGGTACTCCGGCATCGTCACCACCTGCACGGGATATAAGCAAGGTCACCAGCAGCCACAGTGACCAGAGGGCCCAGAGCAGGCAGAGCGGTGGGCCAGCCTGATGTGAGAGCTACAGAAGGGCGGTCAAGGATTCAGAACCCTCCCTGGGCAGAGAAGTTTGCAAGGTGGCTAAAGGGCCCTTATCTCCTGCTGTTAGCTCATTTTCATCCCACAGACACTCTCATTGTTATCTCAGCACATAGAAGGTGCCCAGTAAACAGGAGTTGTTAAATGAATATATGACTGGGCATAACTAAGGAGGTAGTTCCTTGCCCTAGAGGAGGGCATATTATATGTGTGTGTGTGTGTGTGTGTGTGTGTATCCAGAAGGAAAGAATATTATACAGGTCATCCATAAAACTCATGTGCAATTTAAAATAGTTTTACACTGTAGCTGCACACAAACTTTATGGACATCCTGTATATGTGTATGTGTGTGTATATGTATCCAGCCATTGCTAATATAATAAATGTCTCTATTTTTTAACATTACATGGCTGGATACTTTCCAGATAGCCCTCCTGTGTGCCCGTGTGTGTGTGTGTGTGTGTGTGTGTGTGTATACAGTCAACCCTCCTTATCTGTGGGTTCTGTACCTGAAGATTGAAAATACTTGGGAAAAAACAATAAAAAATAACAATACCTGGCCCAGTGCCCGTAGCACAGTGGTTGTGGTGCCAGCCACATACACTGAGGCTGGCAGGTTCAGACCCGGCACCGACATGCTAAACAACAATGACAACTACAACAAAAAATAGCCAGGCATTGTGGCAGGCACCTAGAGTCCCATCTACTGGGAGGCTGAGGCAAGAGAATCACTTAAGCCCAAGAATTTGAGGTTGCTGTGAGCTGTGACGCCACGGCACTCTGCAGAAGATGACATATTGAGACTCTGTCTCAAAAACAAATAAATAAATAAAATAAAGATACCACGATAAAAAATAAAAAGAATACAAATTTTCCAAAAAATGGTAAAAAAAAAAAAAAAAAAAGAAAAAGAAAAAAAAAGTAGTTACAGAGCAATAACATAGTATTGGGTGTCATAAGTAATCCAAAGATGATTTAAAGCATACATGAGGATGTTCACAGGCGATATGGAAATATTATACCATTTTATAAAAAGAATTATGCATCTGTGAATTTTGGTATCCTGGGGGGATCCTGGGACCAATACCCTCTGAGATTGATTGAGATGCTGAGAGATGACTCTTCTCACATGTATTCCTATTCTGAGAACCGTCTGCAAGCAAGACATCATTCCAATGGCATCCTTCCAGAGCACCCAATAATTGGCCCGGCTGGATATGCCTCCACCACCCTCTGCATACCGGCAGTGCCAAGGATTATGGCTACAGGCCTGCCCAACCGATCTCCCAGTTCCCTTCTTCAAATTATAACCACTCTTTTTATCTTGCTGTCAACCTTGAGCCTATTGTCGCCTGGGACCAGACACATGTCCCCAGAAATCTGTGAGACTCCAGCAGAGTCTGCGCTGTTGTCCCAAATTGCTTATAGCTCCTAATGTATAGACTTACAGACTTATCTGTGGTAGGTGCCCACTATACATGGATCTCACTAAACAGGTGATACTAAAGCTGCCCTGTGTGTAATTTCAGAGAGGCGCAGTCAGGAGACAAGCATGCGTTTAATAGATGAGTAGTAGCTGCACACTCAGCAAACAAGAGCTTGCAGATGTGGTTAAATGACAGGGAAATACAGCTCTTTTTCCCAAGCTGCTTCTCCTCTAAGGCTGAGGCTAGAGACAGTTATACATAAGAGCAAATGCCTGCGGGGCAGCACCAGTGCACACCCAGGGTAAGTGGTTGTGATGCCCTAAAGGCGTCTGAACGGAGTAAGTTTGCTCAGGGAAGCTTCCTAGAGGGCAGAGTCATGATCGAGAACTGAAAAGATCAATCAGACTCAGGCCCAGTGGATCTGTTTAAAGCCCCTGTGTGCAGCCAGGAACTTCATTACCTGGGAGAGAAAACCGACCCAACAGGTTTTCTCTGCCATTTATCCCATAAGTCTCCTCTGCCCCCAGGAGGACCAAACTCACAGATACATTTGTCAGCAGGAAATGGAATAACACAGCAGATACTTACCCCAGCCTTGATGTAGATGGGCACAAATATCCAGCCCAGCACGACCACTAAAAACAGAGCCTGAAACCAAAGCAAGAGGTGGAGTCAGACCAGGAGGAACCTTAGTGCATCCCAGCTGCTGGAAGGGCCCCCAGTCGCTTCAGAAAAACTACTCAGCATGTTTCTTTGGGGCTCTGAGGACACTCCCTAGGGAGCCCTTGGAACTGGAGGAGGAGACCTCACTGCCTGGCCCGCCTATGGAACAGCAGTTGGGCAACAGTGGAGGGAAGCCGGGAGCCTGTCCACCAACATCACAGCCTGGCCCCAGCCAGAACACCGAGTTCTCCTTTGTCTCTTGCCTGATTTATAAAGTGCAAAATACTATTAGGGGAGCCACCATCAACATTGCCATCATCATCATGGTAATCTGGTGGGTAGAAGGGACTGGGGACCTTGGCTTTTTTTTTTTATAATTGCTTAAACTTGCTTTTATTTTCTTTTTAATTATTATTTATTAAATCATAACTTTATACATTGATGCATTTATGGGGTTCAGTGAACTGCTTTGATATACAATGTGAAATGTTTACATTGAACGAAGAAGAAGATTTGGCTTTTTTTTTTTTGAGACGTAGCCTCAAGCTGTCCCCCTGGGTAGAGTGACGTGGCATCACAGCTCACAGCAACCTCCAACTCCTGGGCTCAAGAAAATCTCCTGCCTCTGCCTCCCAAGTAGCTGGGACTACAGGCGCCCACCACAACACCCAGCTACTTTTTGATTGCAGCCGTCATTGTTGTTTGGCGGGCCCAGGCTGGATTCGAACCCACCACCTTAGATGTATGTGGCTGGCGCCTTAGCCACTTGAGCCACAAGTGCCGAGCCGGTGCTTTGGCTTTTTAACATCAAGAGGAAAGAGAAGAAATACTATTGGTATCTTATCAGAGGAAGGGGAACAGGGCCCTTGGGCTCCCAAAGCTATGCCCTTCCTCTATCTGCACCCTGGGGTGGCCTGTGAGGCTCGCTAACATCTGGTGCTCCTAGAAGCAAAGACTAAACAGGCTGACTGCTAAGGCTCCTTCCAGCTCCAGGGCATGGTGGCTCTGGTGTTACTCACATTCCATTCGAAGGCCCCAGTGGCGATGCCAGAAGCTGCCCCCGTCCCAGCCAGCCCCACAAAGTGGCCGCTGCCAATGTTACTGGCGAAGAGAGAGGCTCCAATCTGGAAACACAAAGATACAGTCAGGTGAGGATTCTGTGCTCAAGCAGGACACCCGGAGTGGCCCACAAAGAGAAGAGACACCTGCCAAGAGGATAGGAAAGAGCAGAGGCGGGCTGGGCAGGGGACTGCGCAGTGTGCTGGGTTCCATCAGCACCTCTGGTTCTGAAGAGAACTGTGGGAACTGGGAAAATAGGATGAAAGGGAGAGGACTGGGGGAGAAGCTGTGGGATGTACCCCCAAATCAAATCATCTGCAAGTCTTTTGGGAACCCAGTGCCCAGTAGTGACCAAGACACAGGAGGTCTCCTCCGGAAGTCTGCCTTTCCCCTCTAAGTCCTCCAGCATGTCTGCAGGCTTAGTCTGGCCCAGTCCAGGTTCTCAGTGAATGTTGACCATTTCCTGGAAAGGAATCATTTAAAAGGAAACCTCTGGACTCAGTCACCTTCTCAAATAAGGAGGGATGTGGAGCCAGTGATTTCCAAATGATTCTAGCTGTTAAGTTATGTGGTTTTGTGGATACCCAAGTAATTAGAGGTAATAATGATAATTCTCTAAATCCATATACCACTTTTATTTTTCTACACAGGTCCTAGAGACCAACTAAACACATGCACAAAAGGCTGAATTTTGGCTTCCAGGCGCCAAAGTGAGTCCATGTTCACTGCTCCCACTTTCCTAGGGAAGGCCCCAGTGTCTCTTCTAGGTCCCTGTCACCCCATGACTCACAGGTACTGCAAGATCTGTCCCATAATGATGGGACAAAACGGAAGGCAGGAAACGGAACTGTTAACATTCAGGGATGTGGCCACAGAATTTTCTCCAGAGAAACGGAATACCTGGGCACTGTTCAGCAGAATTTGTATAGGGATGTGATGTCAGAGATCTCCAGACACCTGGACTTTGTGGGATAAAGAAGAGAGATTTGATTTAGGAAGTACAAAGAGAAAGTTTAGAGCACTTCCAAAGAGCTTTGGAAGTGGGTCCGTTTCATGGAGGAGAAAAGCACTCCATAGTAAGGGAAGCAATAACCAGTTTTTCAAAAGCCCCAGAGATACCTAAGACTTTGGATATGAGATCAGATTACATATTCAGTCAAATATTTCTGAATACCAGAGACTTAAAGTGAAGAGGATATTTCTAAATGTGATCGATTTGATGAGTCCTTCATTAAAACTTTATTATCCTTCCACCAACAAATATTATCATCAGATGCCAAAATGTACAAATGTGATCAGTGATCAGTACGGCAAGGTGTTTACCCAGTTACCACTGCTTAATCAATATTGGGGAATAAACAATTGGAAGAAACATTACATATTCAATAAAACTTTGATGTATTCTATCCAGAGCTTTACCCTAAATAGTTACCAAGATGTTGATGTTGGCATGAGAAATTATCAATGCAATAAACCTGAAAAATTCGTAAACCCCATCTCATGCTCTAGAAAATATCAGAAAGCTCAATATCCAGAGATCCAGTACAAATGTGAAAAATGTGAGAAAGTCTGTCACCAATGTTTAAGGCTTATTAGCCATGAGGATATCTGTAGTCAAGAGTTTTCCCACAAATGTAATACACAGGTTGAAGCTTTTTTCCAGTCAGGGAATCAGTCTCAAAATCAGGAAATTCATATTGGAGAAAAATCATGCAGACATAATATAACATAAATGTGAGAAAGTCTTTATTCAGTCATCCAATCTAGGAATACGCAATATAAACCATCCTGGGGAAGGCCTCTACAAATGTAAAGAATGTGGCAAAATCTTTAACCTTAATTCACTCCTTACTCAACATCAAAGAATTCATGCTGGAGAGAAACCCTACAAATGTAAAGAATGTGGTAAAGATTTACTCAGATTGCGTATCTTAGATCACATGAGTTAATTCATACTAGAGAGAAACCATACAAATGTGAAGAATGTGGCAAAGCCTTTATCGTTCAAAATTTATTCACCATCAAAGAATTCATACAGGAGAGAAACTCTACAAATGTAAAGAATGTGGCAAAGTCTTTACTCAGCTTGCACATCTTAGAACACATAAATTCATTCATACTAGAGAAAAAGCCTACAAATGTGAAGAACGTGGCATATCCTTTATTCATCTCACGCATCTTAGAACACATGAGACAATTCATACTAGAGAAAACCCATACAAATGTGAAGAAGGAGGCAAAGCCTTTATCTACTGTTCAAACTTTATTAAACATCAAAGAATTCATACAGGAGAGAAACCCTACAAATATAAACAATGTGGTAAAGCTTTTACTCAGATTGCACGTCTTAGAAAACATGAGATAATTCATACTACAGAACCCATACGAATGTGAAGGATGTGGCATATTTTTTACCAAATCTTCATAGCTTAGGCAACATCAGAAAATGCATAATAAAAAAAAGCCCTACAAATGTGAAGAATGTGGCCAATTTTTTACCTACACAGCAAGCTTTAGAAAACATCAGTCCATACTGTATAGAAACCCATACAAATGTAAAGAATGTGGTAAAGCCTTTATTTACTTTTCAAATCTTAAACAACCTGAGAGAATTTTTACTGGAGAGAAATTAAGCAGATATGAAGAAAGCGGCATATCCTTTACCCAGTGTTCAAGGCTTAGACAACATCAGGAAATTCATAATGAAGAGAAACCCTACGAATGTGAGGACTGGGACTAAATCCTTTACTACAGTTAACACTTTACTCAATATCACAGAGTTTATATTACAGAAACCCTATATATGTGAAAAGGGTTTCATCCCAAATCTACAACTTGGAAATCACCAGAGAGTTTATAGAGAAAGAAAATTTTACAAGTGAAATAAATGTGCAGAAGTATTTAATCAAAATAAAAGTCTCAGCACGTCAGGAAATTCACACAAGTAAAAACTCAAGTACACTTTCATAATTTACAATAACCCAGAGTATATATATCTTGTGGAAATGTGGAGAACAATGTAAAGGCAAAGCAGATAATTTATCTGATGGTATTTTTCAAAGTATAAAGAACATTGATGATAATTATGCTATGTAAGTACTTTATATTGACAGTATTTCAAATTGTTTGAAAGCAAATGTTGGTACAGTTCAAATTTGTTGATGCTACACTTTCAGCCTTAATGTTTATGTGAAAATATGTGATCTGTTGTTTCTGCATTAGATCTATGAGAGGTAATTCAATGTTTTTTGTTTGTTTGAGACAGAGTCCCACTTTGTCACCACAAAGAATGTCTTGGCATAGAATGTCTTGGTGTCACAGTTCACAGCAACCTCAAACTCTTGGGCTCAAGCGATTCTCTTGCCCAGCCAACTAGCTGGGACTACAGGTGCCAACACTACGCCCAGCTATGTTTAGAGACCAAATAGGGTCTTGCTCTAACTCAGGCTGGTCTCCAACCCATGGGCTCAGGCAGTCTGCCTGCCTCAGCCTCCCAGAGTGTCCAGCCTTGGTCATTCAATGTTATGTGAATATGATTATCCATTTCTCCACGAAGGCTTAATGGGGAATGTAAAATACATTGAGAAATTCCTAAGGGAAAAAAAAAAATGCTGAATTTTTCAAGGATACAAATATGTCTAAACACACAGAAGACAGATTAGAAGAACATAAACACTTCCAAGAGTGGAAGTCTAGAAGAGGAAAGGAGAATGCGGCTCGGTTTCTTTGTTTTTTTTTTTTTTTTGTAGAAACAGAGTCTCACTTTATCGCCCTCAGTAGAGTGCCATGGTGTCAAGTAGCTGACAGCAACCTCCAACTACTGGGCTTAGGTGATTCTCTTGCCTCAGCCTCCTGAGTAGCTGGAACTACAGGTGCCCGCCACAGCACACAGCTATTTTATTGTTGCAGTTTGGCCTGGACTGGGTTTGAACCCGCCACCCTCAGTATATGGGGCCGGTGCCCTACCCACTGAGCCATAGGTGCCACCCGAGAATGGGGCTAGGAATCAGAGACAAAGAAGAAAATGCCAGATGAATTGAAACAAGAGAGGGATCTCACACTGACCAATCATAATACTGTGCCATTAACTCAATTGTATCTGGGGTCAAAAATATCTCCAGAAAGTTCTATGATCCTTCTATACCTCAGGGGTGAAGGTACTGTAGCATTTGATAAGTTCCAAACAAGTGCAATTATTCCCACTCTTGCTAAGCAGATAGGGAGAGATTTGTGGTTATTTGATATCCCTAAGATGATCCAAATCTGGAATAAAATAAAAATAAAATTTACCTAAAGAAAGATTATTCCAAGAAATCATCCTAATTATACTAGCCCATGTCCCAGTATAAGGCATCTGGTGCTTACTGTTAAATGCTAAGTCAGAGGAGAGGGAGATCCCCGAAGGCTTGGCTGGAAGGAGGTCTTAGAATGATGAACAGGGGGAGGTGGTGTGAGTGCATTCATTCATTAGCTCAAGAATAATAAATTTAGCATCTACTAAACATGCGAAGCACTATCTGTTAATAGATACACAAGATTCAGCTGTGAACAACACAGACAAAATCCCTACACTTACAAAGTATATATTCAAACACAGTACACATTAATAAATATACAACAAAAAGATCGGAGAGTAGTAAGTGCTGTGTAGAGAATGGAGAACAGGTATGACAGAGTGATTAGATGGGAGAGTCAGAGATGGTCCCTTCTCTAATTTTAGAGAATTATTAGTATAATTCAGACCTTTAAGATGAGATGTGAATGATAAAAGAAGTCCACCCGGCAGAGATCAGAGGGGAAGCATTCCAACAAAGCAAAGACTTCCAGCTCACACCACTCTGGGAGGCCAAGATGGGAGGATCACTTGAGTCTAGGAGTTTGTGACTAGCCTGAGCCAAAGCAAGACCCTGTCTCTACAAAACATAGAAAAATTAGCTGGGCAAGCTGGTATGGGCCTCTAGTCCTAGCTACTTGGGAGGCTGAGGCAGGAGGACTGCTTGAGCTCAAGAGTTTGAGGTTGAGTGAACTATGATGCCATGGCACTCCCACCTATGAGACAGAGTAA